AAAAAACAGGTAGCCCATCTGAATTAGGACATTTAGGCTATCCATCTAATAGTAGCCTACCAAAATTTTGTTAACAGTAGAAGTTAAATCTTATTGTAGTCTTCAAATCTGGGTACTGGCTTACGTTTTAAAATCACAAAGGGAGTTTGGTCCCATCAGGCTAACGTGACAGTCACGACTAATGCAGCTGTAAGGTTTTCTTTTTCTTTTGTTTTCACTCGCGATCTTTACAACACGCATCACATTAGGTATTTCATGGCACACTCGTTTTATGCGTATTTGGCGCCACCTATTGTTGTGGGTGTATTACTGACATGTCAAAGTCTAGACCCTGAATATAAAACGACCGCGTTTTTTAGATGTATTTCCAAGAAAAAAACATCGTCTTATATTCGGGTCAATACGGTAATATAGCACTTGTAAATTATTGCTCTTTTGTTGGTTTTGATCGCTTCTATTGTCCTCATTTGTTAGTTGCTTTGGATAAAAGCGTCTGCTAAATGACTACATTTAAATATAATGTAAATGTAAATAACAAACCTAAATTGAAATGTTAAAACAAGCCCCAAATCAAATAAATAAGTAACACAAATAAAATAAATCTCTTCGTATAAACAAACTAATGCTTTGGCAGTGCTTTTTCCATTTAAAATTAGAGGCAACCACTGCATTTTAATCATGATCCAAACAAAGATGCTGCATATATGCAACATGAGCAGTTTTTAATCTAAATTAGATTGTATAATTTCGAAATTTGAAGCAAAAACAGAATGGTTTGACTTCAGTTTTGTGAAACTATACATAACAAATATCTGCATGAAACAGAAACAGCAGACGAGCTGAATGAGACGCAGATCCACTCTCTGCCAGCAGGTGGCGCTTAAAGCGTTTCCTTAGTTTCCGCTGTAAACAAAGCAACTCTGCACTTATGAACTTTAATATGCATTATACAGAGGCAAGATAAAAAGATCTATCTATCTATCTATCTATGTATGTGTATATATATATATATTCTTTTGTGTTTTACAGGTTTGAAATGGCATTAGGGTGAATAAATGATGACAGAATTTTCTAATTTGGGTGAACAATCCCTTCAATGTCTAGCCGCATGTAGGGAAGAACAAATAAATTCCATGTTGTGTCTTTAATAAAAGTGGTGGCCACAAAAACGATCAGTATAGATCACTGCAACAGCCTCAAGTGGTCATTATGGCAAGTCAAAAGCAAATCACTTTGTCACAATCTCTCCAAAACCAACAAAGGGATTTAAAGAACATGAGTTTCAATATATATGTACACTTCAGTATGATTTTTGCAGAATGTTGGGATGAGGGGAGAGTGTTGGCAAAATGAATCTTAAAAGAAAAGGCAAAGGAATTAATTTAATTAATGCGGCCTCATGTCCTACGGCCATGTGTAATCCGTAGAGAATTCCTGAGTGTGAGCTCTAGGAGACAAAAAGACATCTACCAGAGGACTCCTCAAGTGGACTGTAATGAGAACCTCCCTGTAATCCCATAATTCCTTGTTTAATTAAAAGACAGAGCTGGCCTGGAGTCAAAGCCACTTTGCTGGCTTTTTCATTGTTGTGCTTTTGTTTGGAGGCTATTTTTGGGACGTTCTGTCCAACCGTCCAACAAACAAACAGACGTGCAAACATATTCATTCTGTAATCTGGTGTTGCTATTGGGTAGCTTTTGTTGTTGTGACCAAACCAGTGTCAGGTGACAGTGGCAAAGTAAAAACATGACATTTTCACATATTTTTTTTTTTTTTAATTTAGAACCTTCCAATAAATAAAATCATTTGAACTCAAACTTGGGGAAAGAAGCCAAATGTTAAGAGTTTGTATAAGCATTTCTGTTTCTCAAACTTGCCTCATTGCTGTCCCCTATGGTGTGGAATGGGAGTGAACAGATCTGCCATTGTTGACAAGATTTAATGTCATTGAATTACCTCTCAAATCCATCTTGTGTTTCACCTGGCCTGAAAAACCAGTTCTCACTGTACTGTACTAGCAAAAAGCGGATGCTTAGGGTGTAGAATGTATGTTCTGAAGCTCACTGTTCAATTGTATGTATATGGGCTGGGCATTAATACAGATTTCCTGTTTCAATTCAATTTTGATTAGATTCCAGATTCATTTGATTGTATTTCAGTTAAAATGCCCATTTTGCTTATAAATAAAGAAATTCTCTCTCTAATTCTGTAAACTCTACAGGAAAGAGTTTCAGTAAACACACTTTTTAAAC